AGCTTTAATGTCGAGTCGCGAACTTTCGAAGACAGATGACACGTCCGAGATGCTCTCCACTTCTTGGCGAGCCATCGACCGCACGAAATCGTGATCTTTCTCTTCTTCCGGGTCCTCTCGAGTCGTTTCAACCGTTTGTTGAATTTGTTTCTCCTCCTCCGACGCTGAAGAAGTCAAGCGGTTGGATTCTGTACTCGACGAGATACTCTCAGCAACAGTGGAAGTCGACGGAGAGACCTGAGCTTCCGCTTTCTCAGTTGCCACAGGCGTGAGAGCGCTCTTCCGCTTTTCATCAACAGAGGAAGCTCGCAACTTCGCCTTCAACTGGTCGCGCTTCGCCCAGAACGCTTTGCTTGCTTTAGCTTCTTCGAGTCGCTTCTGGGCCGACAACTTGGCAGCAGCGCGAAGCTTCTGAGCCTCACGTTGGACACTCTCATCGAACTCTCGTTTTCTCCGCTGCTCATCTGTTTCTTTTGTCGGTACAACAGGAGCAGGAGGATCCTCAGGTGTAGTGGCAGTCGATGTAGGAGCCACAGGAGTGCTGACAGTTGACGGCTTCGAAGCAGCTTCTGGTAATGAGTCAGGTCTCTTCTTCTGGTCATCTTCTCGTGGAGTGTGCGCATCAGTTGCTTCCGCTGGCACTGGGGGCTTCTCTGGACTGGGATCTGACTGGGTGGAGTCCGTCTGAGAGCTCTCCACAATGATATCCACCTGGTTACTTGGCGCAAAGCTGACTTTCCGGTCACTCCGAGAGCTCGGCGCTAGAGACGATGCCTTCCGTAGTATAGACTTCCTCTTCCACGTTAACGGACTCGTAAGTTCTGCCTTCCTGCTGACCTGCATCGACTGTCTTGTCCATTTTGTTGCATCCTGAGTATTCAACTCTTCTGCGCTCTTAGCAATAGCACGCTCCACGTCGTGTCTTGAGGTGTTGTCATTTACCTCTGTAGAATCCTTCGCAACCGCTGGATCTGCAGCGTCGAACGCCGCTGATGACGTTTTTCCGTGCTGTGAAGAGCGACCAGTTGCTGCGTCTGTATCGCTAGTATCCTGCTGTGATCTGAGACGTATTTCGTTGTCTTTTTCGGTGTTTTCTTCCGCTCTGTGTCCAACCTCTTCCTTCTCGTCTGCTGAAGGTTTCGGCGACGTTGATTGACTCCGTGGTGACCTGTTGGAGCCAATGCTCTCTCGTACAATTTCGTCCTCTTCATCGTCATAGATCACAATCACCTCGTGCTCTTTGACGCCTTCCTCCTGGTCCTCTGGTACCTGTTTCAAGAGCTTTTCGTCCTCCTTCTGCTCTTCTTGCAGCGCGTCCAGCAGACGGTCGAACAGCACAGCCTTCAGTCCACTAGTTCTCAGTCCTCTCTTCTTCAGTTCCGACCGCAACTCCGTCACCTTGAGCTTCCCTGGGTCTTGCAGTAAAGCCTCAGACGGACGTCCTCTCCTTCTCGTCTTCTTCGGTTCCCCAGTCACGTCCGCACTCTGGGTCCTCGGACGCAGTCGCATCGACAGTCTCGTACTCATTCGCTCCTGTTTCGGTTCATCCGCAGGCGGCGCCGCGTCTTCCCGCTGCGGCTCGATCTTCTGCTTCTTCTTGACCGGTTCCGCGGCTTCTGGGGCGCTACAAAGCAAAATTACAGCGGAAAACCACGCACGCATTAATATATAAGTCTCAAGTACTGTAATGTTCCCTAATATCGGCCATGGAGCCCTGGTTTACCTGGGATAAGGCAGTGGAGCTGACGGCTTGGACTCGAAATGCGCCTTGATATCCAGCGAACGAGAGATCTGCATCAGCTCAGCTTGCAGCCACGACACATTAAGTACATGTTGCTCCTCCAGCGCCGACCAGTTTTCGCGCGCCAGGCTCTGCAGATGCCTGCGCACCCGCAACACGGCGTCGCCCATGCTTTAGTTTCTATTGCCCTTTTCGCGGTTTTGAATTTTGAACCGGGATCAGCAACTTTATTTTCAAGTTGCAAAAATGATGCGCTGAAGTTACAGCAACTTGTAAACTTCAAAACGGTCAAACATGAAAATTCACATTAGAACAAAGTTGCGCGACTTAAGTTACAGCAACTTGTAAACTTCAAAACGGTCAAACATGAAAATTCACATTAGAACAAAGTTGCGCGACTTAAGTTACAGCAACTTGTAAAACTGCGATAATTGTCGTCAAAAATGAAAATTCACATTAGCTGGCCGTCCTGCTCGCTATAATGCACTGCCCCACCCGCTTGCTGCGATAACTCGTCGTCGCAGCCTTCCTGCCCCGTCCTGCTACTGTCTATTTACTAATAGTAGTGTCTATACTGGCACCTCGGGTGTCCTGTTCTCGCTTCGTCCACCATCGGCAATCGGTCTTGACAGACATGAAGATGATACTACACCGACCGACAGACGACGTCGATCCTCTCGTCTTGCACTCCAGTAGAAGCTACAGAATGGAACACGAGCTCTTCTTTTGCTTGGGCACTTTCTTCCGACGCACCTCGCGCACAAACGTCTCGAATACCGCCGTCACGTTGGCACCTGTCAGCGCACTCGTCTCTATGTAGCGCGCGTTGTACGAGTGTGCTATCCGTCGGCCTTCCTCCGTGCTCACTTGGCACTTGCTCGGGTCACGATCCACCACGTCCTTCTTGTTGGCCACAAGGATAATAGGAGGCAGAGGACGGCGACTCTCGTTGATCTGGAGGTGCAGATCAAAAAATGGTTGCAATTCCTACAAAAATGACGGGCGTCAGTAAAATATCGACTCATATTTACCGACAAGAAGTCGCAATGGGGTATACGTACATGAAGCGAGATTCGCGAGTCCATACTATACACAAAAACATAGCCATCCTTGTCCATCATCCACTGCCCTCGCAGCGACTCGAAGTCCTGTAAAACGCTGATGAGCCAACGATAAAA